CCACCCTGGCTTGCGCTCTGTCTTATCCCCTCCCTCTCCCTCTCTCTCTCTCTCACTCACTGTCCCCCTATCCCATCCCACACCCCCCACTCCCCCCGGCTGCAGTGATCCACTCCCGGATGGAATCCCGCTACGTGAGGTTACCATGTGGTGAGAGGATCTGGACGGTGTCGCTGAGCCCGGAGGAGGAGGCGGCAGTGCCCGGTGGGCAGGGTACTGCAGGGAAGAAGATGCCCCTGGTGTTAGTCCATGGTTTTGGAGGGGGCCTGGGGCTCTGGGTCCAGAACATGGAGAGCCTGAGCCGGCGCCATACAGTCCACGCCTTCGACCTGCTGGGATTCGGCCGGAGCTCGCGGCCCCCGTTCCCCTCGGAACCCGAGGAAGTGGAGGCTCAGTTTGTCCTCTCCATCGAGGAGTGGAGGGAACAGCTGGGTCTCAGCAAGATGGTACTGCTGGGGCACAGCCTGGGTGGTTTCCTGGCAGCGAGTTATACCATCCAGCACCCAGACAGGTGAGGGGGCAACTGGGGACAAGTAATTACACCTGGGGGGGGTAATCAAAGGTTGCAGGGGGGGTGCGTGAGAGTGGGAAGGAGTACGGGAGCAGGGGATGGTCGGGTGTGGGGGTAGAGACGAGGGGGATGAGCCAGGAGTGAGAGAGGCGGAGGGAGAGGGAAGGTGTAATGGAGAAAAGAGGGCTGGAGAAGGGGAAGGGTAAGGCGGTAAGAGAGAGAGAGAGAGTGCCCAGGGAAGAGGAAGAGATGGGGAGTTGGGGGTGAGATGGTAAGGTGAGTGGGGGGCTAATGGAGAGGGGAGGAGGGGATTTCTGACCTTCCCTGCCCACCACATGATGTTAACTCTCTCCCCTCCCTCCTTTTCCCCTCCCAGAGTGAAGCACCTGATCCTGGTGGATCCCTGGGGACTCCCAGAGAGACCGGCCGATCTCTCGGAAACCTGGAAGCCCCCAATGTGGGTGAAAGCTGCGGCTGCCATCCTGGGCAGGTTCAACTTCCTGGCGGTACTGAGGGCAGCGGGACCCTGGGGTGAGTGTGGGACATGGGGTAGGGGGGTGGGGGCGGTACTGAGGGCAGCGGGACCCTGGGGTGAGTGTGGGACATGGGGTAGGGGGGTGGGGGGCGGTACTGAGGGCAGCGGGACCCTGGGGTGAGTGTGGGACATGGG